TACAAAAACAACCAATATTTTTTTAATAATTTTTTTTACAATATCTTTATTTCATTTATTTCTTTTTATGTTGTGCTAAGGATAGAACCCAGTACCTCACGCATGTGAAGCAAGTGCTCTACTACTGAGCTACAACCCCAGCCCCTGAAATAACCAATCTTTATTATGTGAGATAATAAATGTTCTTATTAAGTTTAAACTACTTTTTAAAGTTATTTTATTACCTGATGATAAAAGCATTATAATTATGTGCAGTCATAAATTCTTCAAGTCTAAAGAAAGAACAATAGAAGCCATAATTTTATTTCTTCTCTTGGGAATATATAAAAGTAAGATAGACAAATAGCTAGGCTATGAAAAGCATTGGTATGATACAAGTTCTTAGTGTATTTCAGGGGAGTTGAAATGAAACAGTTTTGATAGATCTCAGGGTTCTCATGTCAGGGCAGGGGAATGAGGTGGGAATTGTAATCATATAGTTTGTAGATAAAACTATCAAGTGGAGGAAATTGCCGGGGTAACCCCATAGAGCAATAGAGAATGCCCACATTTAAAGGGCAGTTGTTAGAAGACAAAGCTCCTGCTTAAAAAAGAACTGAACTGAATGGGAGAAAAGTTAGAGAAGTTAGAGGAAAACCAAGATAGCAAAAGGTCATAGAAATCAAGAGAACAGAGGCTTTTTTAATTTTTTTTTTTAACCAGAGTCTTTTGAGAAGTCAGGAATGGAAACAGTGTCAAATACAACTCAATAATATCATGGTCTTACACATGATATCTGTGCTTCCATATTTACTCCCACTGAGATGTCATCTGTAGGTAAAAATGTTCCCGAATGGACCCTATTCTTTCTTTTCTTCTTTTTTTGTACTGAGGATTGAATCCAGGGCTTCTTGCAAGCTAAGTAAGTGCTCTTCTACCACTGAGCTCCATCACCAGCACTTTTTGTTTTATTTGAGATAGGGTCTTGCTAAGTGCCCAGTTCCAATTATGTGTGAGAACTCAGGGGATTCTTGACACATTTAGAGAGTCCTTCATTCCTTCTCAATCTTTTGCCCTTATTCTCTTTGGTCTGACAGTCATGGCACAAACTGGTACAGGGAGCATTAGGTCAAGAGCAAGAGTAAAGTTGTGGGAATGGCTGATCCAGTTAAGATCTAATGTGCCCAGTCCCCAAGGCCAATGGATAGGGACTAATTGTCACCAATTCTAGAAAGTCTTCAGAATTCACTTGTGGACTTTTATTTCACAATTATAAATTCTGTTTATAAATAAGTAATGATGAGAATTTTTCAATTCACATCTCCTTAGAGGGATGCTACATAAGAAATAATCTTTATGGTCATGCTATAACCTCCAAAGAGAAAAGTCCCAACTTGGATACATAGAATATAAAAAAATCTAAAATAGTATTAAATTATAACCAGATAATTTGCTTTAGCTGGAGAAATGTAAATGTTAAAGCACACGACTTCCATTAATTAGGCTTGAAATGAAAATAAGAGAACTATATTCTTACTATGTGAACTTTAGAAATCAATGTTGACAAATATTAGGATTCTTTTTTTTTTCCTGTGGGTACTGGGAATTGAATCTAGGGGCACTTAACCACTGAGCCATATCCCAGCCCTTTTGAAAATATTTTATTTAGAGACAAGGTCTCGCTAAGTTGCTGAGGCTGGCTTTGAACTTGGCAATCATCCTGCTTTAGCCTTCCAAGCAGCTGATAAATGAGGATAAAACAGAACAGACAATAAAATGACCAGGCAGTCAGGATAATGGGCCTCATTCAACCACACTGGAAGCTAGCCAGTAAACACATTAATGAGCATCACCAAAGCCTATTTCAAATTAAAAAGCCTTGAGGCTCACCTGTGGGAATACTTCCAGCCAATTCCTTTGTCCCAGAGGTAGAAACTGGAAGGTGAGGGTGAACCCAGTTGGAAGTTACTGGAAAGAGGATGGAAGTGAACCCGAATGGTAGCCAGGATGCCTTTTTAAATATCTATTTTACATAGATTTTGTTCTATATTCTGTCCAGAACCATATATAAACTTCTAAGCTGGCACACCAAAATGGGTTCTTTTGCTATCAGGCCCCCTCCCCTATGGTGGGAGTTCTATCTCTTCTTGCTTAAATAAATCCTGCTCCTTTTACTCTTCCCTTCTGTGACTGTTGCTTTTTTTTTTTTTTTTTCTTTTTTCTGGCACCAGGGATTGAACTCAGGGCACTTGACCACCGAGCCACATAATTTATGTAGAAACAGGATCTCACTGAATTGATTAGGGCCTCACTTTTGCTGAGGCTGGTTTTGAACTCCCGATCTTCCTGTCTCAGTCTCCCGAGCTGCTGAGGTTACAGGTATGTGCCACTGTGCCCAGTTGTCTGTGGCTTTTATCCTTCAAAATTTGTGAAACAAAATCCCAGAGGAAATTGGTGAGGCAGCGGGAATTGAGTCTCATCTCCAAACTCCAGTTTCACTGGGAGGTTTATAGGCGTGTGCCACTGCACCTGGCTAAGATTAGAATTTTTGACCCACTTTCACCACCACCAACCTACATGAACTGTTAGAGAAAGGAGTTAGCACACTGAAAAGGAGAGAATGCCTTTTTTTTTTTTTAAATCCTGGTCTTTTAAAAAGAAATAGTATGCATCCCCTCCCCAAACAAACAAATGAACAAAAAAAACCCCAGTAATGCAGAATCTCCACACCCAGGCTCACAACCAGCTTTGCTTAAAAGAAAGGAGCCTCATCACATGGAGATGAACTCCAAACTCCAGAAAATCTCTTTCTCTCTCTCTAGAAAAATGCAGTCACAGTTAGCCTCTGTGACTTTGGGTAAGTTTAGTTTGTAACCTAATCTGAAACTGGCAAATCCAGTCTTTCAAGGCTGTTCCTCAAGTAGAAAGAGATGACAATGTTCTGGGCTGAGGGCGGAGTTTCGTAGAGATTCAATCTGCCTAGCAGGATCAGTCTTGAATGGGGCAAGTCAATCAGTTGGAGTTCTTAACTGCAAGCCTTGGGAGCTGACTTAGCTGTTGAAGCAGAAAAGTTCTGGGTGGTGCATGAAACTCTTGTGAGAGCTGCAAAAAAAAATAAGACTTTGAGCCAAATCTTCCAGGAAAAATGTTCAAAACCACAATGCAAAATTGGCTGGATGAAAACCACTTCTAGCATGGCCACCAAGCTCTGCAGAACTCAGTTTGCACCACTGGACTTGGCAGCCATTGCCACTAACCACTGTGTGTTTATACACCAGAAACTGTACTTTCATTTGGGATAGGAAACAGGGGGCGCTGTAGGATGGGCCTACACTACAAATTTCAGAGGCAGAACAATATGGGGGTTGTCTCCTGGAGACTCTGAGATGGCTCTGCCCTCTCAGTTGATCACTGTGGGTAGCTGGGAAATGGGTTACGAGAGGCTTTAGGGTTCTGGATTGCATATCATGCAAGCAAACTCCTGACAAAAAAGTCCTGATGACTTTCAATGACCTTTGGATATTATTAGAGGCTTTCTAACTAAGCTGGCATTGCTCAGCTGACACTGAGGTGTGAAAGTGCAGGGCTTTGCAATATGAGGTGAGGCTTTCAAAATCAGAAACAATGATTTGTTGAAAGCCCAATTTATAATGATATTCAAGGTCACTTGCAGAAAACTCACAGTCATTTCCCTTATGTTTTAATTTCTTGCATTGCCATGAAAGGTGCTATAGAAAGTGGGAAACAGTACTCTCTCCTGTAAGAGCCTGGCATGTTCTTTCTGAGACCACATAAGAACGTATTCACTCACATTTTTATTTGTGAAAAAACTCTAATAAAAGAAACAACTGGGGTGAAGGAGAGTTGGTGACATTTCAGAGACTTATGGTAGATTAATTTATATATTTCAGTATTTGTTATTTTTGTAACAAGTTTTTATGCTCATCTGATCTGGGAGGGGAGAGGAAAGATGACATTTTCCGAAGTTGATTTAAAGAAACTGTTGTGGGGCTAGGGCTGTAGCTCAGTGGTAGAGCGTTCACCTAGCACACATGAGGCACTGGGTTCAATCCTCAGCACCATATAAAAATAAATAAATAAACTGTTGTGAAGGATATTAAAAAAAAAAATAAAAGAAACAACCGGGGCGGGGGGTTGTAGCTCAGTAGTAGAATGTTTGTCTAGTATGTGTGAAGCACTGGGCTTGATCCTCAGCATCACATAAAAATAAAATAAAGGTATTGTGTTCATCTATAACTAAAAAATATTTAAAATAAAATAAACATAACTATATACATTGCACCATTTTTTGAAAAACAGTTGTGTAAAAAGGACTCTAAAGTTTTAACGAAGTATAGTAGTTTCCATTGTGCAGAAGAATTTACCTCCAAACATTTATTATCTCATACAATTTCGTTGGCACAAGAATTTGGGAGCTGTTTAGTTCTGGTTCTGACTTTCAGTTTCTCAGAAGTTTGTGCTGTGGCCATCTGAAGGCATGCCCATGGCTGGGAATCCGCTTCTAAAATGGTTCATCACAGGCCTTTCAAGTTGGTGCTGGCTGTGGGTAGGAGACCCCAATTTTTCATAATGTGGATCTCTCCATGGGGCTTCTTGGCTGTCCTTACAAAGTGACAGCTGGTTTTCTCCAGGACAAGGGACCTAAGAGGAAGCAAAGTAGTAGCCAGGAAGTCGTTTATACTCTAGACTTAAGAGTTTCACTACTTAGAGTTTTCACTACTTTAGGAGCAAAAGTCGGCTCTATTTTAAGAGGAAAGAATTATCTAGGTGAGAATACCTGAAGACGATGGACACTGGGGACCATTGTGAAGGCTGGCCACCATTGGAACGTTGTTTAGGCTTCCTTGCTGAGAAGGAGTATAGTTTCATTTGGCAATGGCAGTGTAATTGTTGGACTTGCTAATAGCTAGTCATTGGGGGTGGGTACTAGGCATTAAACTCAGGGACACTCAACCACTAAGCCACATCCCCAGCCCTATGTTTTTTTTTGTATTTTATTTAGAGACAGAGTCTCACTGAGTTGCTTAGCACCTCTCCATTGCTGAGGCTGCCTTTGAACTTGGGATCCTCCTGTCTCAGCCTCCCAAGCTGCTGAGATTACAGGTAAGTGCCACTGCACAGGGCTAATGGCTAGTCTATGAGCTGAGGTTCAGACCTCTGGCATAGTTGTATGCCACTTGCCCAAACACATTTTACATGCTTATTTTTAGTCTAGCCAATCTGACTAGCTAAGGTTCAGATCAAAATTTGTCTATTTCCTTTGACCCAAGAATAAATTTGAACAAATTAATAAGCGATTGGGTTTTACTTCTTGGCAATCACCTATAAAAACTGTTTCACTTTCTATTTTCAGAAAAAGAATTTCCTTAGCTATCTTCTCCAAGTAACTATTACAATGTTACTAGCCTTCATAGTTAGGGAACTTTTTATTCCTTTAGTATTGCTTAGGCCTTCATCTGACTGTAGCAGTGACAAAAAGCAAGTGGTCAGTTTCTCCTCAATTGAAGCTCTCCCACATACTCAGTGTTCTTAAACTACTTTCTTTCCTCCGATAAAACAGTTTCATTTTGTTAACTTTTTTCCTCATGCTGAGAGGGATAGGTGTGTGTGTGTGTGTGTGTGTGTGTGTGTGTGTGTGTGATAGTTTGGATCCCCCAAAGGCCCATGGACTAATGGCTTGGTCCCAGCTTGGTGGTAATGGGAGGTGCTGGAACCTTTAAGAGGTGGAGTCTAGTGGGAGGTCTTAGGTTATTGGGGGTGTATCTTAGAAGGGGACTGTGGGTCTTGAGTCTCTTGTTCTCTGTCTCATTTCTCCACCATGAAGTGAGTGTGCTCTGATGTGCTTTCCTGCTGTGATATGCTATCTTGACATAGGCCCAAAGCAATAGGGCCAATCGGTCATGGACTGAAACAGCAATCCAAAATAAAATTTCTTTCTTTTTTTTTAAATATTTATTTTTTAGTTTTCAGTGGACACAACATCTTTGTTTGTATGTGGTGCTGAGGATCGAACCCAGGCAGCACGCATGCCAGGCGAGCGCGCTACCGCTTGAGCCACATCCCCAGCCCAAATTTCTTTCTTTTTAAGTTATTTATCTCAGTTATCTGTTACAGTCACAGAAACCTAACAAAATGTGTGTATGAATAAATGTTTTATTAAGAAACATTTCAAATATAAAAAAAATTAAAAAAATAGGATAGTTTCATGAGCTCCCATGTTTATATTTAATAATTGAATGACTTATGACCAACCTTTTTTTTAATGTCTTCCCCCTTCCAAGGTATCATCTTCCTCCCACCCAAGGAGTTATTTTGAAGTAAGTTGCAAAAATCTTCTCATTTCATCCAGGGAAAAAGGTGTTCAGCTTATGAAAGGAAAATTAATCTCTAAACTTTTTCCTTTAAAATTCCTTTTCTCTTTGACTCTCAGCTTTAGACCATGGATTAAAAGCAAGATAAACTACCTGTGATTCAGCAGACAACTCAGGCATGGGAGACATCATTTAAAGATGAGAAAATACTTTCTGTAGTCCCTAGAGCAGAGCTGTCTGTCTTTTCTGGCAGAAAAGTGTGGCAAAAGTTCTAAACCTGTTTTTCTGGGCCATGTAGAGTAGGAGGAAAAGTCTGCAGTCAAGGCTCTCCTTGAAGTTCCTTCAGGAGCCTTTGACCTTCACTTCCTTGCCTAAATTATTTTTCTGAAAGAAAAATACCAGTGCCTATGCATACATGAAAGCACTGATCCTTACACAATTTTTAGAATAGATTTTTAAAAAAAAATTTTTTTTTAAAGAAAGAAAACTAAGCCAGTTGCAGTGGCACATGCCTGTAATCCCACGGACTTGGCCATAAGCAACTTAGCGAGACCCTGCTCAAAAATAAAATATAAAAAGGGCTGGGGATGTAGTTCAGTGGTGAAGCATTCCTGAGTTCAATCCCCGGTACCAGACCAGAAAAAAAAAAAAAAAAAAAAAAGGAGAACTTGAAGGTCATAGCCTAAGGTTGCTATTTTACACTTGTGAAAGAGGAGGCTTGGCTATATCACATAACTTGTGGTTTGTTCAGCATTTAGTAATATCTATAATGTATTTTTCAGTATATTTTGAGCATTTGTCTTGAATTTTGTCTCACAGACTGTATCCAGCACTGGAAAGTAGTTGGTGCTTAACAGTGTATATGAAAGGGGCTTTATAAACTAGCAATTTTGAATTTAGAAATTTTATGATGTTTTATTTTTTTTTTCTGCAGGTGATTACTTAACAAGCAATACTTAAATTTCTTCAAAATCAAATTATTTTTTATGATAAGTTTTAAAATTCAACATTATACTTTAAAAGAGACTGTCCTAATGTGGAGATGTTTACAATTTTAAATAGGGTATTATTACAATTAATGTTTTAGTTGAAAATGGAACTTATAAGCAGTGTTACATAATTGCTGAATAACCCATAATTCTATTAAATAACTATGATGTCTAATTTCCTTTCTCTTCTATTGCTATACAAAATTTATCCATCATAGTATACATAGGCTTTTTATGTTGTTATTTTCGCTTACCATTTTACTGAAAAGATTTTTGTATGTTTCCATAGTCTTTATCATTCTAGTTTTAAATGGCTACACTTTTTTGTCAAACAAACATGTGTTTGATCCTTAGCTTTGCTACTATCTACTTTTGAGATTTGGGAGTTTCTTTTTCTGAAACAGTTCCAAGTGACATACAGTAAACTGCACATATTTATATTGTATACTTTGATATGTCTGACATATACATACTGTGAAACCATCACTACAATCAAGATAACAAATACATCTTTCACTTCCATGACTTTCTTCAAACCCTTTTGTAATCCTTCCCTCTCACTGTCATAATTGTTTGAGATTCATCCACATCATTGCTATGAAAATGATAGAATATTATAATTAAGTCGTATCGAGACAAAACCTGGAAACTCTTGGAAGGAATCAACTTGGCCTCCTATGTGACTCTTGTCTGGGCCCTAGAGCAGCTCTTCCTAAGGGCAAGCAGACCTTCCTGGGAACTGCAGCAATCTCAGGCAGCCAGGGTGTCTTTGGCCTGAGGAGGTAATGGTCATGTCCCAGTTAAGATGATAGGCTTATTTTCATGTATCTCTTTTCTTTCAGACTCCTTGGCCAAAGCCTCATTTTCAAATATCTTTACTCTTTGTCCCATCTTCATGGATTACTAGAACTAGCCACTCCCCCAATTATCCTTTAAACTCTTTCAAATCTTCTATTTCAATTTCCTCATTCTTTGCATGCTAATTTAGATATGAAGTCGGACATTTTGTCCCCAAGGATCATGACTTATGCCAAAAATTGAAGCATAAAACAGCAATAATTTATAGAGCAAACAAAGTACACAGCATAGCACTTCTGTGCTATGAAGGGGCCTGTCTCCCTTCCTTGAGATTTCATTTTTTTCCTGTACATTTGTGCTCCTAGCTGACAGAGCCTTTAGACATTACGTTTGTTTCTGAAAGGCTTCTCGAAGGGCACAAGCTGAGACTGGCTTATATCAAAGATAATCCCTGAAGAAGAGCCATGTGTTTTTGTTGTTGTTGTTATTGTTGTTGTTGGTTTTTTGTTTTGTTTTAATATTTTTTAGTTGTAGATGGACACAATACCTTTATTTATTTATATTTATGTGGTGCTGTCGATGTAACGCAGGGCCTTATACATGCTAGACAAGCGCTCTACTCCTAAGTCACAACCCACCCCAAGCCATATATTTTATAAATACAATTTCAAGCTTGCCCAGTGGCCTATGCCTGTTAATCCCAACAATTTGGGAGATTAAGACAGGAAAATCCCAAATCCAGGGTAGCCTCAGCAATTTAGCAAGGCTCTTAGGAATTTAGCAAGACCCTACCTCAAAGTAAAAAATAAAGACTACTTGTAATCCTAGTGGCCTGGGAGGCTGAAGCAGGAGGATCATAAGTTCAAAGCCAGCTTCAGCAACTCAGTGAGGCTCTAAGTAACTTAGTGAAATCCTGGCTCAAAATAAAAAATAAAAAAAGGGCTGGGGTTGTGTTTCTGTGGTTAATTGCCTCTTAGTTTAATCTCTGGTACCAATAAAAACAAAACAAAACAAAAAAGGCTGAGGATATAGCTCATCTGTAAAGCATCCCTGGGTTCAACCTCCAGTACCCCTAAAACAAAAACATGCAATTTCAAGTGCTTTCTGGAAATTAGAGGGCTCCAGATGCAGTTCTAGAGCCTAACATTAAGGGGCAGCATGTACCAAAGGTAACATTCAGCTCTGCCACAACCAGGCAGAAACGAAACCACCTTGTTTTTAAACTCTAGGAGCACCTGGGGTGTAGAAGCCAAATTTCCATCTCTTCAATAAAATTAGAGCATCACAATCTTCAGTATATTTTCTATTAAGAGTTTTACCTGCCAGCTGAATTCTCCAAGTGAATTATTCTGTGGTTGAATGTGATTTAAACACAATACTATAGAGTCCTACTGTATGATTTAGTGATTTTAAAGAATCTGTAATTTCAGCAACTTGCCCTGATAATATTTCAGTTCAAATTCAAACTATATTCATTGAAATGAATGCTGTTTGTCTGTCTCTCTGCCTTTAATGAGGCAATTTTCTAAGATGTGAAAAAAAATCAAATCATTATATGGATAGTTAAGCTAGACAAGGTTCAGCTCTTGGGAGACTTTACAGTTTCCATCTTTCATTTTTGGCTCATTAATCCATCCATCAGCAAGGATTTTAGAGCACGTTCACATGCCTGATCCTGTGCTAAGTGCTATGAAATGCTGAGATGAGCCAGACATCCACCCTGATAACAAGAATCATTTAATATTTAGGAAGTGGGGATTACAAGAATATGTGATAAATGAGAGATCTATCTAAAATGGTGACCGTGGAACCAATGGGCATTCTGGTTTTTTAAAATGATAAAAGTAAAACTTGGCAAGCAAACCTTTGATCTCTAAGTTTGATACTATTGAAGACTTTTGGGCTTTATACAACCATATCCAGTTGTCTAGTAATTTAATGCCTGGCTGTGACTACTCACTTTTTAAGGGTGGAATTGAGCCTATGTGGGAAGATGAGAAAAAAAAATGGGATGGAAGATGGCTCATACATTGAACAAACAGCAGCGACGAAGTGACCTCGATTGTTTTTTGGTTAGAGACACTGCTGGGCTTATTGGAAAATCTTTTGATAACTACAGTGATATGTATGTGAGCTGTTGTTAATGTTAGAGCTAATGGTGATAAGACAGCAATATGGACTACTGAATGTGAAAACAGAGAGGCTGTTACACACATGGGGAGAATCTATAGGGAAAGGTTAGGACTTCCTCCAAAGATAGTGATTGGTTATCAATCCCATGAAGACACAGCTACTAAGGGTGGCTTCACCACTAAAAATAGGTTTGTTGTTTAAGAAGACACCTTCTGAGTATTCTCACAGGAGACTGTGTCAAGCAATCAAGATTTGGGAACTGAACCAAATCCTCTTCAAAAGCAGAGTGAACTGCATTTAAATTTGATTCCATCTAAATGTTACTCAGATATAAGAGAAGTCTCATTCACCTTTGTCTTGTACTTCTGTGTTCATTGTTTTTTAAAAATTTTTATCATAGTGTCCACAACCCCAATCAAAGAATTACAGTCCACATCACCCCCAGAATCCATAAATGTGTTCCTGGCTCACTTGGTATTAGCTTAGTAGAATTACCATTACAAACATGTTTTACCCATTCACAATATTCAAAAGAACTTGCATTTCTATACCTTAATAGGAAAAAAATTGAGTTTCTGTTCCATTGTATGCAAGGGCACATTTTGCTAGTTTGAAAGAGTATGATACATACAGTTTTCTAGCAATTTTCTTTGTTTCTTTGTACAGCATTATCTTTGCTGTACTCTTGCTAATGCCTACTAGATTTTAATTTGTTTTTCTACTTGATAACATTAGCGATTCTGATTTCAGTTTTCTATTTGTTTTGATTTTGTTTTTTCCTCATGTAACATTGGTGAAGGATCCAGGAATATGACACAAAGGTGGAATAAAGATTAATTTTGTACATTCTTTGGTACTTTTTTGTTGTTTTTTGTAACTACAAAACTTTACTACAAATTTATGCATTTCATTCAAAGCAGTGATCTATGTTTGTGTGATTTTCCTAAACATAATTGTAGATTATAAAAATGTAACATCGTAATTACATTCCTAACTAGAATTAGTATGTCTGTTTTTGTATCTTTATGCTGTATTTTGACACTTAGTATTACTTAGGTTATTTTGCTTTGGTTAAAAATGGCTCAA